GGACCACCTGCTGTTTTTTAGGAAGTCAGATGGGGGCCTATTACTTAAAAGAGGCTAACAGAGGCTGTAATCAAGCCACTCCTGAAAAAGCCTAACCTGAACACAGAGGGAGTCGCCAGCCGTAGGCCTGGGGACAACCTCCCCTTCCTTGGCAAGGCGCTTGAGCAAGTGGTGGCTGAACAGCCCTAGGCCCTCTTGAATGAAACGGACTATCTAGATCCAATTCAATCAGACTTCAGGTGGAAACTGAACGGAACGGAATGGGAACTGCCTTGGTCGCCCTGCGGGGTGACCTTTGCTGGGAGGAGGACAGAGTGAGTGGACCCGGTTGGTTCTCCTGGACCTCTCAGGCGCTTTTGATGCCATTGACTATGGCATCCTTTGACCATGGCTGGCTGGACTTGGAGTAGGCACTGCCTTGTAGTGGTTCCGCTTCTACTTGACGGGCTGATCCCAGAAGGTGGTGCTGGGGGATGGTGGCTCTGCTCTGCGGCAGCTATGTCAGGGGGTACGACAATGTTCCATTTCATCCCTTGCGCTATTTAACATCTACATGAAATGGCTGGGGGAGGTTATCCAGAGGTACGGGGTGAGGTGTCACCAATACATGGATGGCATCCCGCTCTGCCCCTCTGTTTCATCAAGCCCAGGTGAGGCAGTGGCCACTCTGAATCAGGGTCTGGTGATTGACTGGATGAGGGCCAAGGGGCTGACACTCAAGGCAGGGTGCTGTTAGTGGGTGGTTCATTAGCCCATTTGGGTGGTATTCAAACTGTTCCCTAAAGGATGGGGTTCGTAGATTGGGGGTGCTCTGGGATCCAGAGTTGTCACTCGAGAGACAAGGGGACTCCCTGGCATGAAGCACTTTCTATCAGCAGCATCTGATATACCAGCTGTGAGCCTACCTGGACAGAGAGAGCCTACCTGGACAGAGAGAGCCTAGCCACAGCTATCCATGCTCCGGTAACCTCTCGTTTGTATTACTACAATGCACTAAACATGGGGCTGCCTTTGAGAATGGTCCAAAAACTTCAACTGATCTGAAACAGGGCAACAAGATTGTTTGGCGACATACAGGTATGTGAGGGGGTGTCACACCAAGATGGGTAGAGACCTGTTCTCCCCTGAAGAGGAGAGCAGGACACGCTCCAATGGAGCAAAGCTCAGGGAGCCAAGGTTCCATTTGGATGCCAGGAAGCACTTCCTGACAGTTAGGACCCCCAGGGTGTGGAATGGGCTTCCACGGGAGGTCGTTGAGGCCCCATCGGTGAGGGTGTTCAAGGATAGGCTAGACATGCACATGGTGGGCGTGTTGTGAGCAGAGCCAGCTGGAGCCAGGGGTCAAACTAGATGGCCCGGGATGCCCCTTCTGGCTTGCTCTCTTTCTATGTTTCTATGTTAATGGCGACTGGCTTACTGGAACACTTTATGCCAGTCCCCTTCCAGCTGCACTGGCTGCTGGTTGAAGTCTGGGCCTGATTCAGAATGCTAGTACTACCATTCAAAGCCCTAAACAGCTTGGGGCAGGTTATTCGAAGGATCGCCTCCTCCCACATGCACCTACCTGGACTCTGAGGTCATCTTTGGGGGTCCTTCTCCAGGAGTTGCTTCCAAAGGAAGGGATGGGGTGGCTACCAGCTGGAGGGCCTTTTCCAGTAGTGGCATCCCAGTTTCAGAATGAGCTCCCCAGGGAGATTCACCTGGTGCCTACTTTGTATTCTTTCCAGAGCTGGGTGGAGACCTTTTTATTTTCCCAGCATTTCAACAGCCTTTTAAACATTCAAATAGTCCATTTTATTCTGTATCATGCTATGCTTCTGTGGTGGACAATTGCTATTACAGTTTTGTTCTTTTAAATTAATGTGCATTTATGCATCTTTTAAACTTTTGTTTCATTTTAACATTCGTTGACTGCCCAGAGAGCCTTGGCTATTGGTGGTATAAAAATGAAATAAGTGAATCTCAGGTAGATGCTGAATTCCAGGGTGCCAGCTGGCTTTGGGGAGCTCTCCCTGTAAGACCTCCTGCCTGCACAGTTTCAGCGGAGGGCTGGAGGCCATTGCCCCACCTGGGCGCTTGTGGAGGAAAGGCAGGAGCACAGGGAGCTTTGGCAGAGGTGATCTTGATGCTCTGCTTATCTGTCCGATTCCTAGCAAGGGCCTCCAGGAGACCCAAGTGTGCTTTTAAAGCAGTTTGGATTTTTCAGCCAAAGGAGAAGGGAGGGATATGGACTGTTTTATTAACCTTCCCTTCATAATCCTTCCCTCTCCTCCGTTCCCTCTGATTCATTATGTGTCAGGAAGCTGAGCGTGACATGTTAAAAGCCATCCTGATAGTATTTTATATTCAGTGCTAACAACTCACTGACTTGGAAGTTTTCTTTAAAGGAGGGTTGTGCACAGAAAGCGAGACAACCTGCATTTTGGCTGTGCTGAGGCAGTCGGTAATTTACATGAAACACCCCAAATCCCCACTTTGCATGCTGCCTCCCTTCAGTGGCTTTTCCTTTTATGGCCTTCACAACAGAAGCCCCCGGAGCTCTGGCCCCAGACTGAGGGGTTCTTGCAAGAGAGGCGGATAGTCAATGCTGCAGACAGAGACTATTCTTCTTGACAAAACTGGTCAGAGTTGTACCTCCTGCACCGCACACACCTTTATTTTCTATCAAACACTTCTTGAAGGCTTTTCCACACAGCTTACAAAGCCAGCTGGGGTCGTCAGAGTGGGCTGCAGGTGTGCCTTGTGGGAGAGGGAAAGCCCTCTTAAAAGCCCCCGTCTGCACACCAGAAATGGTAACAGGATGCCCCGCCAGGAGACCCCAAGGGGCCACTCCCTCCCAGGGAAGCCTCCCCAGTGGCGCCCAGCCGCTGGCGGGAGCCCTGCCACCTGGCACAGTCGCATCAAGGGCACTTTCTGTGGGGCTCAAAGCAGTGCAAATGTGAAGGTGAAACGCACGGGGAAACTAGCCAGCTGCTTTGGCAATGTTTTTTCAGTTCACTGTATCCACTAATAGCTTACTGTTTCATATTTTACATCTGTGAAAAGGAATTTATCTTTGAAAAAGCTATAAAATAGCTAAATGTTGAAATTAAACAAATACGAAGGCCAAAAGTGTTATGCTTTGACAGATGTACTCTTCCAAATTTTGCATCAGAGAGTCCAAATAAAATAAAATAGAAAGCATTCACATATGTGACCATTTGGCAGGAGCACACAGAAGAAGGTGTGCCTTCATGAAAATGAAAAAGCATTATATTAGGAAACCTGCTTGAAAGGAAAGTGTGCATTAGGCAACAGTGCCTTAAAAGGTGTGTGTTGGGAGAAATGTGCACTATAAATGACCAAGTTTTGAGATGGCTAGACAGAGGGGGTGCAGTGGATGTGATTTACCTGGATTTCAGCAAGGCCTTTGACAAAGTGCCCCATGATATCCTGGTGGAGAAACTGAGGAGTTTTGGGATACACCAAAGCACTGTCCGGTGGATTAGGGCATGGCTGACTGACCGAAAGCAGAGGGTAACCATTAGTGGGAATCATTGGGGTGGTGGTCAGTGATGAGTGGGATCCCCCAGGGCTCTGTCTTGGGACTGATCCTGTTCAGTCTTTTCATCAATGACATGGAAGAAGGAGTGAACAGACAGCTGATCATATTCACAGACGATACTAAAACTGGGGCAGTGGCCACAACTGAGGAGCAGGTACTCCAGATCCAAAAGGATCTGGACAGACTACGGATGTGAGCAGGAGACAACAGGATGGCGTTCAATGCGGATAAGTACAAGGTCTTGCACTTGGGGCGCAGGAACGGGTGTCACAAGTACAGGTTGGGGGACAAGTGGCTGGAGAGCAGCACTTGCGAAAGGGACCTCGGGGTGCTGGTGGACTGCAGGCTGAACATGAGCCAGCAGTGTGATGCGGTGGACAAGAGGGCGAATGCCACCCGTGGTTGATAGCCAGAAGTGTGGCTTCCAGATCAAGAGAGGTATTACTACCACTCTACACGACTCTGGTGCGCCCACAACTGGAGTATTGTGCTCAGTTTGGGGCCCCTCATTACAGAAAGGATATAGCCAGGCTGGAGTCAGTGCAGCGTAGGGCCACAAGGTTGGTGGCCGGTTTGCAGGGGATGGTATATGAGGCGAGACTGAGGGAGCTGGGTCTCTTCAGCCTGGAGAAGAGGAGACTCAGAGGGGATCTGTTGGCGACATACAGGTATGTGAGGGGGTGTCACACGGAGGTGGGTAGAGACCTGTTCTTCCCTGCAGAGGAAGGCAGGACACGCTCCAATGGAGCAAAGCTCAGGGAGCCAAAGTTTCATTTAGATGCCAGGAAGCACTTCCTGACAGTCAGGACCCCCACTGACTCCCCCACCCCCCAACTGTGGGAAAGAAACTGGTGGGCAACAGGCAGGGAAGGGGTTCTTGGGAGGAGAACTTCACCTCAGGAGATGTGGACATGAGGGCCTATCAAAGCATCCGCTGGATGGACCAATTAGGGGCTCGATGGGAAGAGTGTCGGTACCACTTCCATAGTGCACCTCCCCCCAGAGACCAGCCCCGAAGGGTCCATAAGCAAAGCTGTGGGTGAAGTGGGGCAGAGTGAGGGGGCAACATTCCATTTGGTGTGCGAGTTTCGAGGCTTGTGAATACATTGTTTCTGCATGGAATAAAAATCATGGCTGAAGTGCCTATCTCATCTGGGAGGGGATGCCTAGCTCATAACAGCAGGCATGTCGTGTGTGGAGCTGGCTGCAGCCGGGGGTCAGACTAGATGGCCCAGGATGCCCCTTCTGACTCGTGCTGTTTCGATGTTTTATAATGCATGCATGTTTTTTAAAAAGAAAATTCTCCACATTCAGATAAAGCAAACCTAAGATAGGGAACACGAGAAAACGGGAGAAACCTCGACAGACTGATTGCTGTGTCCCACTCCAGGTATACCTGCCAGGCCGGGTTTTGGGGCCCTGACTGACTCGCCCTCTCCTGCCCTTCTCTCCGCAGTTCATGGCATCAAATGGACCTGCAGCAATGGAAACAGCAGCTCAGGCTTCTCTGTGGAGCAGCTAGTGCAACAGATCCTGGACAGCCACCAGACCAAGCCGCAGCCTCGGACACACAATTGCCTTTGCACGGGCAACTTGGGTGAGACATGGGCAGGGCCAGGCACACAAGGCGAGCAGCTAAGAGAAGACAGGGGTGCAGCAAGAGGCTGTCCTCCCTCCCCACCACTCCTATGAAGGCCCAGGAGCCTCCAAGCACAAGGCATTGTTCTGGGCCAAGTGTATTCATTCTCATTCATTCATTCATTCATTCATATTTAGCTTGTGTTTTATCCCACCTGTTTCCTTTTGAGGAACTCAAGGCAGTTTTTTCCCTTCACCTCTCATCAACAACCCTGTGATTGTAGGTTGGACTGAGAGTCTGTGACTGACCCAAAGTCACCCAGTGAGTTTCATGACTGAGTGAGGACTAGAGCATAGATCTCCCAGGTGTCAGTGCGAGAGCATCTGAGGATGTCTCATGCTGGAACTCCTTCCTCTTAATCCCCAGTATGTGAGGAATTAGCAGGGAGCAACAGACGCTCTCTCTTATTCATGTGCTCTTATCCCAGTGCTAAGAGCTGGCATGGAAAAGCAGTGCAGAGGCTGAATGCTGCTGAGCCCAGGATTGAATCGGAGTCCTAGAGCTGGGAAAGCCTCAACCTCATCTAGCCCAGGCCCCAGATCACTGCAGGATGCAGACACTGAGACAGGCAAGAGGTCCTCCCTGCAGTGCTTGAAAGCTTTCAGAAGCCACAGGGCTGGCCAGCCTCGGGGAGCAAAGGCTGGTCCAGGCTGTCCGCGTTTTCTCGGCTCGCCTCCGCTACGGAGTGGGCAGGCCAGCACAGCATTTGGCCTCGCTGTATCCAAAGGATGTCTTCAGTGGATTCTGAGTATGGAGGTGTGACACTGGTGTGCCATTTTGACAGGAGCCACCTGGGTGACTCTCAGCCCAACCTACCTCACAAGGTTGCTGTTGTGGGGATTAGATTCGGAGTAGTAGGAGGAGAGTTACACAAGCTGTTCTGAGTTCACTGGGCAAAAGTGGGACACACATCTAAGAAGGAAAGAAATCATTCTGATCAGTCACAACCTTCCTGGCCCAGTTGTGTGTCAAAGCTGTTCCTGCACTGTGCTGCATCAGACCACAGATGGGGAAGAGGGTACCTGGACAAGCGTGTGTGGGAAAACAGCCCTCTCTGTGATGGGAGCAAACGCGACACGCCTTGTTCTGCTCCTCACCATGTCGAAGAGCCAAAGGGATGGGGAGGAATCTCCAGGAGGAGTGTTGGGTGCTGTGAGCTCGGGTCAGAGCCCTGCGAAGCTGCTCCCTGCTCCGGGGGCCACGGGGCTGAGGCAAACGGCTTCTGGGAACCAGCCCCTGGGAAGGGCGTTGCCAGCAGTGATGCGGGTGAGGATGCCAGGGCGGGCCCTGCCTTGGACCCATCTTCCAGGCCCCAGGGTCTGCTCGCAGGTCCCGGGGTATCCCCTGCGGCAGCAGAATCCCTTTCCTCACTTCACTGCCAGGTAAGAGGCCATTTTGAGGAGGCTGCAGCTCCGAGGGGACGTCGGCCCTCCCCTGCCCTGCCCTTGCTGCCATGCACGGGCATCTCCATGGCAGTTAAGTCAAGCGGGTGGCTGGGGAGAGCCGGGCTGGTTGGCGCGCACATTTTATTTGTGATGCTTTGGATGAGAAAATCCACGGGCTAGCTCTTCCTCTGTGACCAAGCCATTTGGTCCAGCAGTCATGGCATGCACCGTATCAGGATGAGGCCCACGATCCCAGCCCGTGGGCCCTCCTGGCGAAAGGCTGGCCTGGCGCATGCTGACCACACTTGCTTTCTCTTGTTCCGTGGGACAGGGGCGGGCAGCAGCGTGCACCACAAGTGCAACAGCGCCAAGCACCGCATCATCTCGCCCAAGGTGGAGCCCAGGTCCGGCGGGTACAGCACCCACTCCGAAGTGCAGAACAACGATGTCTCCGAGGGCAAGAACGAGCACAGCCACGGCAAGTCCTCCAGCCGGGAGAAGCGCAACGGGAAGGTGGCCAAGCCGGTGCTGCTCCACCAGAACAGTACGGAGGTTTCCTCGACCAACCAGGTGGAAGTTCCTGACACGACCCAGAACTCTCCTGTGTCCATCAGCAGTGGGCTGAACAGTGACCCGGACGTAGCTGACAGTCCAGTGGTCACGGGGGTCTCCAGCATGGCTGTCGCCTCTGTGATGGGCAGCTTGTCCCAGAGCGCCACCGTCTTCATGTCTGATGTCTCCAGCGAGGCCGTCTACACCATGTCGCCCAGCAGCGGCCCAAACCAGCACCTCCTCTCCTCAGACGCCGCTGCACAAGGGCTGGTCCTGGCCGTGAGCTCGGATGGCCACAAGTTTGCCTTTCCCACGGCCAGCAGCTCCGATAGCTTGTCCATGCTGCCTGCCAGCGTTTCGGAAGAGCTGGTGCTCTCCACGACTCTTGACAGCAGCAGGAAGATCCCAGAAACCACCATGAACTTCGATCCGGACTGCTTCCTCAACAATCCCAAGCAAGGGCAGACGTACGGAGGTGGAGGCCCAAAGGGCGACAGCCTCGGCCCCAACATCCGGCAGTCCCCCACAGCGGAGCGGGGCTTCAACTTCAGCACGGCCCTCACCAAGGAGATTAAAACCGAGGATACGTCCTTCGAGCAGCAGATGTCCAAAGAAGCTTTCTCCTCCTCCGCGTCATCCAGCTCCCTCACCCTCGCCCCTGGCTCCAGCTTGCTTCCCTCCGGCGGAGGCCTCAGCCCCAGCACCACCTTGGAGCAAATGGACTTCAGCGCCATCGACTCTAACAAGGATTACTCCTCCAGCTTCAGCCAAGCAGTCCAGAGCCCCCACATCCACCAGAGCCCTTCACCCAGCTTCTTCCTGCAAGATGCCAGCAAGCCTCTCCCCCTGGAGCAGAACGCCCACAGCAGTCTGAGTGACGCGAGCAACACCTTCGTCAACCCCTTGGCGCTCCCTGCTGTGAAGACCGAGGCCTCCCCTCAGAGCACCTCCAACTGCAATGGCACAGCGGAAGCCCGGATCGAGTCGAGCGCCTCCCTTCAGCTCATGCAGTTCCAGGCGAACTTCCAGGGCATGGCGGCAGAAGGGGAAGTTCCCATGGAGACCTCAGCCCAGGCTGAAGGGGAGAACCTGCTGAAGTCAGGGGATCTCCAGGGCTGCAGCACTGAGCACTACCTGCAGCCCGAGAGCAACAGCGGCTTGCGGAACGGGGCCGCCCTGCCCATCCTGCAAGGGAACATGGTGCAGGGTCTCTACCCGGTCGCCCACCCAAGTCTGAGCAACACTTCCAACATGGAGCTCAGCTTGGATCACTTTGACATCTCATTCAGCAACCAGTTCTCTGATCTGATTAATGATTTCATTTCTGTGGAAGGTGGGGGCAATGCCCTGTATGGGCACCAGCTGGTGGCGGGGGAGAGTGCAGGGCTGTCGCAGCCCGAGGACAGCGGCCGGGCCTCCTACAGCCAGGCGGAGCTGTGCATCCCCTGCTGCAGCCCCCAGCAGGCCAGCCTGCACCTGAGCAGCGCGGAGAATGGGGCCGGCGCCATGGCCTACATGCACGTGACGGAGGCGGTGTCAGTGGCAGCGGCAGCGGCAGCCCAGAGCACCCTGGGCCTGCTGCAGCAGAGCGGGCGGCTCTTCATGGTGACAGACTACTCGCCTGAGTGGTCCTACCCTGAGGTGAGCACCAGGACCTCCCATGTCACCAGCTCCTTTGAGCATGGCACAGCTCCGAGGGGCTGTGCTCTGCAAGTCCAGGAGCTGGGCTCCAGCTCTGCTGCCCGCCCCGCATGCCCGGGGTGGGCACAGCCAAGCACAGCGCATGGGGTTCCAGTTGGACTGGGGAGGCTGCTCTCATGCCCATCTTGCGCCACAGGCTCCCGTCCCCGCCCTGCTTCGGGCTGAGCACTGCTGAAGGTAGCATGGCCGGCCCCTGGCCCAGAGAGGGCCCCCGCAGGCCAGGGGCTGCTCCCACCTGCCTTGCTCCAGAACGCTCCTCCCTGGGTGTCCTCTGTGAAATGGAGCTTCAGTGTGAACAGCTGAAAAAGCTGCTGCTCATGGGGCCTTTTCCATCCAGTGAGGCCACAGGGCCCACCGGGGTCCGATACTTGGTGATGGGATGAAACCAAAGTGGGGCAGGAGCTTCCTGCCCCTCCACACAGGTACGTGGGTCTGTCTGCTTGCTCCTACCCACAGACCCACCCAAAGGGGCCTCTGCACAGGGTGCATTTCACAAGACCTACCTCCTTGTGCAGTGGGGCAGCCCCGTCACATGGCAGCCATGCCAGGTTGGTCACAATGTGTTCACTGCACAGGGCTTTTGTGCCCTTCACACCTGACCTTCTTAGATACACACTGCAGCTATTTTAAGTGTATGCACCTGGAGAGAACTTTCATGTTCAGCCCCAAAGTGCCGTTAGTCCACATTGTTTGAGGAAACGTCCCAACCTTCTGCCACTGGAGGGCAGCACAAAGACAAAGAAAGAGGACAAAGAAACCAAGCTCAGGTTCTGCATTTCCTCTTCAGCAGAAACTCACTAAATGGACAACACTCTTTTTTATTTTTATTTTTTCTCTCTCTCTTTGCAGCTGAACCTCTTGCAAAGATTTCCCACTGCTTCAAACTGGTTGCAACTTCAAAGATGAACAGTCCTTGCAGGAGTGGCCAATTGAAGCAGCCAGTCTGGCAGCAGGGGAAGGGAGTGGGTAAAAGCAGAGGGAGGCAGTTCCATCAGAAAATCAGAGGGATGGGAATGGGTTAAGAAGCCTCTTCCCCCACACCCTTTTTGAGGAAAAGTGAAGGTGCCTGCCAAGCAGCCACTTCTGTTCCGCCTGCTTCTCCTGTTCTATGCTTTGCTTGGCACAAGGAATCTTGGCTTCCTAAGCCTTGGCTGATGGCCACAAAGAGCAGGGCCTTTCCAGCAGTGGCACCTCCTCTAGACTGGTCAGAGACACTTTTGCTCTGGAAGGACGTCGAGGAAGCCGCCTTAATGTCTTTCGTCCCTTCTTTCTGACATTTATTGTGATGTGTGATGACTGAACTGTTGGCATTTATTTTGCCTTTGTTTTCCAATGTCCAATTGCCAATTTTATGTGATCTTCCTGGGTGAGAGAGGGGGCTTAGTCACCAGCTAAGTCAGTCAATAGGTTGCCCCCTTCCCATTTTCCCATTGGGAAATTGCAGCTAACAGCCACCTGCCAAGCCCACGGGGTGAATTGAAGGAAGATGTAGAATGTGAATCCAGGTCTGCCAGCAGCGTTTGGCCCCCTCTGTCCTGGATATTCTGCTCTATGGGAGTGCAAAGCCCACATGGGCCTGATGGGGGCAGGGCCATTCTTTGACTGCCACAGAGACATGAGAAGCTGAACCCACAGGCACAACCCAGAGGAGAGCAGCTCTGCCCCCACACCGCCATGGACCCACCTCCGCAGCCTGGGTTGGGTCACCTACACAGCAGCACTCCGTTTCTGGCCAGTCTTCAGTGCCAACGGGATGCAGGACTTCCCCCACCCACTCACTCTCTTTCTCTGGGGTCCATGCCGAGATTCTCATGGGTGGCGAAGGGCATGGAGGCGATGAAAGACTCTGACCAGTGGGCTTCTCTGCTTCTCTGCAGGGGGGCGTGAAGGTGTTGATCACAGGTCCGTGGCAGGAGGCCAGCAGCAACTACAGCTGCCTGTTTGACCAGATCTCAGTGCCCGCTTCTCTGATACAGCCGGGGGTGCTCCGCTGCTACTGCCCAGGTGAGGGACCAGGTGTGCAGAACCCAGGGACTTCCGTGTGCAGGAGGTATTGTGGCAGAAGGGGCCCAAAACCCCGTCCTTTGCACATCAGCAGTCCGCACTTAAGAAGCCAAGAAGAGCTGTCGTGGGGCCAACCAGTGCAGCGCTTGGTTGCTGGTGCCTCCACTGCCAACTGGGCTACCAGACAGGCCAACACATTGGCAGCTGTTCCTGGAGTCCCAGTGGAAAAGATGCAGCTGGGCAGATTTGACCCATGGGAATTTGGAAGTCAAATTTGGAATTTGGTCATCCCCCTGGTGTGAAGCAAGATGGCAGAGCTTTGTCTTTGGTCAGACGAAGCTGCAGAATGACCAAAACAACCAAGGGGGGAATATATGCCCATTCTTTGAGAGGTCAGACCTAGCTATAGTAACATGACTAACTTCATTTCCGACTGGATTCTCACATGCACTAGTCTGGACTTTCTTTGGAATGCCTCTGGAAACCTGATATCTGGCAACAGCCCCTATTTCATTTCTATACCACTCATAGCTGAAGCTCTCTGGCCAGTTCAGAGTCTTAGCAGGTGTCTAGTCACAAGCATCTATTACTATTACTGCTACTACCACATTACATGGCAACTGTGTTATAGCGGTTACAGTGCTGCTCTCTTGAAAGGTGTCGATGCTGGCTTTGAAGCCCCAAAGACCTGAAGGGCCCTTTCCCAGGTCACCTGGCAGATTCCTATGACCTGATGGAGTAGTTTGTGTCAGCATCATAAGCATGGCTGAGGTGACTCTGACTCAGCTAAGTGAAAGAGCCTTCTTGGTGGCTGCCCCTAAGCTCCCTTTCTCAGGACAGGAGGGTCAATTTAGCCTGCCTTCCAGCCATCCCCTGCCCCTTAGCCATGGCTTCTCGGCGAAACAGGCCTTGTGCGGGCCAGACAGAGGGTCTGAAGTCAGCGTAGTTACTGTTGGCTGACTCTCCTCTGTTGTGGGTGCCTCTGTCTTATTGTGCTGCCGCTGTTGCTTCAATGAAGACTCTGTGCTCGTAGCACAGATGCCGTATAGCAGACTGAGAGCCTGTCTGCCCAGCCAGGGAGGACGTGGAGAGCCCAGGGCATTGCAGGCACTCCAAAAACAAGCTGGGTGGTTTTCTGTCCACTCCTATGGATCAAAACGGCTGCTAGAAATAAACTAGATTCCCTTCTTTCCCCCTTGTGTTCCAGCTCATGACACAGGGCTGGTCACGCTGCAAGTGGCCTTCAACAACCAGATCATCTCCAACTCAGTGGTCTTTGAGTACAAAGCACGAGCGTTGCCAAGCCTGCCTTCCTCACAGCATGACTGGTTGTCCTTGGATGGTGAGTGAGCTGATGCGGTGGGTGGGTGGGTGGAAGAGGGATGCAAGGGGATGGGAGGGCCCCACCGGAGACCCAAGAAGCCCTTGAGCAGTGCTGGTCGCCAGGGGAAGAAGGATCACCTTGATAACGCACTGCTGCAAGAAGCCAGTCTGTGGCTCTCCAGACATTCCAGCCCCTGTGCCCTGTTCCCCCCTCCCCCCTTCACTGGCTGCCTGGGACATGCTGGAAGGTGCAGGCCTTTTCCTGTCAAAACATACAAGGGTCTGTGCCTTAAGTGGTGCAGTCTTGGCTTTGAAAATGGAATAATTATTCCTATTTACAAGGTGTTCAACAGTAAAGTTGTATCTCCCTGCTCTGGGGGCAGCAGTATGGAAGTTGTGGCCATTTGACCTACTGTGGCCATGAACCTCCAACCCTGAATGTGTGTGTGGGGCGGGGGGGGGGGCGGGCAGGTAGTACCTGTAAATGGCAGAGATATGCATCATTCATCCCAGATTTGCCAATCACTTTCCACACAGAGAATAGTTCTTGTGTTATAGCTACAATTTTAATTACCTATTATAAAGGCCAGGTGGGAAAGAGAAGGGGGTTTGTCAGCCCACCTGCCCCAGGTGATGGGCTGCAACACCAGCAAACAGGGCTTGTGAACACCATGCAGGCAGTGCAGGAGCTCATGTGAATTCAGGGAAGAAAGTGGGAGGCAGGCGGGGAAGAAACAGCAGAAGAGCTCCACCCTGTGGATCAGACGGCAGGCATTCCGACTGGGAAGGGAGGGAAGGTAGTCCGGACACTGCTGAGGCACAAAACTCTCTGAACATCAAGCTGAAGGGGGAAAGGAGTCTCGCCACCTTCATTCTTTCACGGGCATCCAGCCTTTCCTCCAAGGAACGGGGCTTGTGCGTTCAGGACCCCGCTCCGTCCTATCATCACAGCAGTCCCGGAACTGGAGAGCAGTCCCGGTCCAAATGTGGGCCACGGCGGCTTCTGGAGCCCCCTGCGACTTCTCAGGGCCTGCCGCGTCAGTGAGCGCCACTCTTCCCTCGGGCGGCCACCGAACCGCCTGCGGATGCGCGGTGCAACGGCGTCGCTCAGGCGCGGGCTTTCGACGGGGCCTGCCGGAGAGGGCCGCTCAGGCGACCCAACCGGAGGACGCGGGACTCTGAAGCAATGCGCCGCTGCCTCCCGTGGGGTGGGGCTCCCTCGCGCCTCATCACTCCCCTGGAAAGGCGGGGCGGCGCTGTCGGCGGCGGGCCCGCGTCCCGGCCCGCCCCACCCCACCGGAGCCCTCTGAGAGGGCAACCCGCGGTGGGGGCGTCTCTGCAGAGGCCGCGGCGGGCGCCGGGACGCCGCGTCGACCTGCCAGAGGGCGCTCGGCAGGGCTAGCGGCTTCGCGGCGTCTCCCCTTGCAGAGCGCGCGGGCTCCGTCCCGTCAGGGTCCGCTGCCGCAAAACCCGAAGCGGAGGCGGCGCGGACTGGCAGCGGAGGCGGCGGCGGCGAAGGATCTCCAGACCGGACGCGCACTGTCATAATGCGGGTGGCTGCTCCGCCGCTGCGCCGCATTGCCCTCGTGAAGCCGCGGCGAGGGGGCTGCACCACGGCGGCGGCGGCGGCTCTCCCGCTCCTGTCTGGGCCGCCCCCGCCGGAGGGGCCGCCGCGCCAAGACCCGGTGCCCGCCGAACAGCGCCGCGCCCGCCCAGGCACCTGTCGCGCCCGGCGCTGCCCCGACGGCTCGCCATTGGCTCCGGCGCGCGTGTAAACAGGCGCAGCTGCCCCAATGCCGGCGCGAGCTGATGTCACTTTCCGCGCCGCGGATTGGTCGCTGCGCCGGCGGAGGGGAGCGCCGAGGCGGCGGCGCCCGCGCTCTTCTGCCGCCTGCGGGCTGGTCGGGCGCGGACCCCGCTCGCATGGCCGGGCTCCGGCAATGGGGCGGCTGCGCAGGTAGGTGCGCTTCGGGGCGCCGCCGGGCAGGGAGCTCCGCTGCGGCCGCCCATTCGCGCGGGCTGGTGCAGGGCGAGGGGCGCCGAGCGGCCGGGAGGCTGAGCGCCCGCACATCCGCATCCGCCGCGCGTGCTCGGCTCGAGCAGGTAAGGCGCCCGTGCCGCTTCGGCGCCGAGTGGCGCGTGGCTCTTCGCCGCCGCCCGCCCAGGATCGGCCGCACGGCGCGGCGTGGGGCTCGCCGTAGTGGCCCGGGCGCACCCGGGCCAGGCCTGCTGATGGCCAGCGCGGATCGAGCAGAAGGCCTCAGCAAGGGGGCTGGGAGGCCCCCGAGGCTCCCCGCGGCGCTCTGCGAAGCTGCCAGCCCGGACGTGCTGCCCGCCCGCGTTTTCCGTAGATCTCCCCGCCCCCCCCCGCCGGACCTCCGCGCCTGCCGTCGCGCTACGTTGGCAGCCGAGGAGGAGGCCCAGAAGGGCAGCCCGTCGGACGACCTTCCGCGCACACCGCCTCGTGCCGGGTCGCGTTCGCGGCTCCCGCGCTCCTCGAGGCCCTTCCATGCGAGGCTTTGGGGGTGCCACGTTCCCGCCGCGTCCTCGGACAGTTGTGCACACCCGGGCCACTTGGCCTTGCACTCCACCCTGCGGAGGCTTCCTCTGCGCCTGCCAAGAGCGGCATCCTTCCAGCATGGAGCGCCCCCAGCCTTCCCTTGGAAGCCCTCTCAGGGTGGCCAGGAGGCCTGCCGCCCCGTGTCGGGAGGACCAGCCCGGCCCTTCTGTCGCCCGAGCTCTGCTGCTCCCCTGGAGCGGGCACTGGTCCTCGGAACCAGGTTCAGGGCTGATGTACATGCGCAGGGCTTAGCACTGGCTCACTTGTGTGTGTGCGGGGGGGGGGGTGAAGGCCCCCCTCACGGGCTGCAGCTGCCAGTTTTCTCAGGCACAGCTTTTTCTAGGAGGCAGTTCAGGCACCCAGCAAAGTGGTGGAATGACGCACGAGTGAGGCCTTGTGGGGCGGCACTTCCCAAGCCAGCCTGGTGCCAGCCTGGTGGTTCTGACTGGAGAGCCTGGCATTTGGGGAACCTTGGGCCTGTACCCCACTCAGCCATGAAGCTGAGGAACTTTGGCCCAGCATGGACTTTCAGACTAGCCTGCCTTGTGAGGATAAGATGGAGGAAGAAGACCATGTAAGCCTCCTGGTGTTCCTTCTGAGGGAAAAGGCAGGATGTAAATATAATGAATAAATAAGCAATAAATTTTTGTTATTCCCATCATTCCTGGAATATGCTTTCTAGGAATGATGGGAACTGTAGTCCAACACATCTGGATGGCACAAGGTTGCAGAAGGCTGTGGGATGCTGTTTGAGTGTCCCCAGCTGGGAGGAGATGGGAGAGCAGAGCCTGGGGCAAATGAAGGTGACATCTAAGGGCTGAGGTAGGCAGATGGTCCCTGAAAGGATGGAGGGACTATTGTCTACCAGGAGGATGTCAGGGCAGGTGGGGTGTTATGCTGCTGATGAGGACCAGGGAGCTCCACCCTGCTTGTGGTGAGTTCAGGAACGCTCTGTGTTCTTCCTCTGATTGTTTTATGGATCGTGTTAAATCATTTTTGACACAGTGCCCCATGAACACTCTGATAAACAAACTAACCAAAAGTGAGCTACATAGAGCTGCTCTTAGGTGGATATCAAGAGGCTGCCAAATCAGACACAAAGACACATTGGCGGCACCTTCTCAAACTGGATGGAGGTAACGTGTGGTTTAGTTCTAGGCCCAGTGCTCTTCAACAGCTTTATGTATGATTCAGATGAGGACATACCAGGAACAATAACCAGATCTGCAGACCACACAAAACTGGATGAAGTAACTAACACTCTGGAAGATAGAAGATCCAGTTAGATAAGCTTGAACACTGGGCTGAAAGCAACAGAATGAGATTCAGTAGGGACAAGTCCACCTAGGAAATGTATCAATACATAATGGGGAATACAAGGCTCAACAGTACTGCAAAAGAAAAAGACCTTGGCATTGTTGTGGACAACAGGCTAAATAAGAGTAAACAATCCGATGTAGCTGCAAAAAGGGCAAATGCTATTTTGGGATGCATTAATAGAAATCATGGGAAGTACTAGTTCCCCTATTACTCTTCATTAGTCAGACCTCATCTAAAATACTGTGTCAAGTTCTGGGCATTAATATTTGGAAGGGTCCAGAGGTGGGCAACAAAAATGAACCAGGATTTGGAAACGCTGCCTCTATAAGGAGAGGCTGAGAGAACTGGGCATGTTCAGACCTGAGAAAAGAAGGCTGAAGGGCAGATATGCTAGCACTCAGCAAGTACCTGAAAGGCTGCCACAAAGAGGAAGACCAAGATCTCTTGCTGATGCCGGAGAGTAGGACATGAAATAATCAATTCAAGCTATGAGAATCCAGATTCAAGCTAGATATCAGGAAAAGCAATGTGACAGTGGAACCAACTGATTAGAGAGGTGGTGGGCTCTCCCATGCTAGAGGCATTCCAAAAGAAACTGGGCAGCCTTCTGAGTGGGATCATGTAAATCGGTGTCCTGCAATTCTGCTATTTTATGATTCTGCAATCCAAACAAGCCAACAGCAGCAGCATTCTGGGAGAGCCTGCCTTCCCTTGGGCATCCCTATCTCCTTCAGCTTCAGAGACCTCCTCAGAGTCTTAGGAGAGGAGGGCCTTTCTTGCCATTATAGTGGAGACTCCCTGGCCTTCCTGGGCCTTGAACCACGATTTGCCAAAAAAAGTGCACCTGCTTTGGACCCGGTGCACACGGGGAGTCTGCATCATTTGCCTCAGCCAGGCAGGGAGGAGGTGCTGCCAAGGTGGAGCCTGAACTGGTGAAGCACCAAGCCGCTTGGAAGCAGGAAGGGCTGTGTGCACAGAGCGAAGGGTGGCCCTGCATGGAGCACTGCCTTCCACACTGGGCAGGTGTGACATACTCTGAAAGTGCTGCAAGGAGCTTTTGGCCTGTCTTCATGTCGTGTGTGTTGTTTGGGGGCCTCCACTTGCACTGGGCAGCATCCCAGTTGCCAGTTCCTTTCTTTTAGGCAGAGCTCTGGGTGGCACACAGACGCCAGGTTCCTGCTTGGTTGCCCCCTCCCACTGGGACCTCCGCAGATCCACTCCCATTGGCTTGCCCTCCCTTCCATGAAACTTTGTGGTGGGGGTGGAGGACCAGGGGCGGTGAGGGCAGCAGCAGACGGAGGGCGGGGAGTGCTTTCTGTCCAGTAGGCGGGCACTGCAGAGTTTTCCTTGGTTGCAGAGATGGGAGGAACTTGGCAAGTGGGGCTGTGCTGGAGGTGCCTCATGCAGTGGGGAAGCCTCTCGAAAGGGGCCTCCAGCAGCTGGATGAGGGGCCTTCCACCAACCTCTTGCCCTTGTGGTGACTTCAGCTGCTGGTTTTGCTCTCTGTGCTATTTTGAGCTGTGGGTTTGCTGATTATGCTGTGGTGTGGCCTGGTTGCAAAGTTTTGCAATGGGTTTGGACTTTAGTGGGGGTCAGGTTAGCCCAGGTGTTTCAGAAAAGCAGGACAGGAAGAGATCAGCATGACAAAAGACTCTGAAGAGGGGCTAGAGGTCAGACAATTCTGTCTGTGTGCTGCTCCAAGCCTTAAGTCTTCAATCAGCCTTAAATGAGAGTGTTGCTGCTTGCCTGCCTCTTCCAGGATCCCAGACTATGTCAGCAGCCCCAGCAATGCAGGAGTCAGTTCAGACAATCCATGACTTGAGGCAGTTGTCAGGGATCTGCTTGCTTGAGGGCATTTTCACTCTCCTGCCAGGTGCAGCCTTGACAGTTCTGACTAAATCTCCTCTTCTGTAGCTTGCCAGAGCATTCCTTCCTGCTCTTGGCTCCTCTTGGACAGTTGCTGTTCCAGAGCAGTCTGTCTCCTTTGAAGAAGGCTCTTTCTTTCAGGTTTTGCTCTTTGTGCACTCGCAGCAAGGAGTAGTTGATATGGACAATTAAAAAGGAGACATAAAATTGCTGTAATGTCGCTGTGATGCCCTCGAGTCCTTTGGAGAGTCCTTGCCCTGTTTGGTGCCCTGGCAACTTTCATTGCCTCAGCTCTGTCATGAGGATCAAGTCCTACTGAATTCAGAGCAGTAGAGCCTTCGAGCGAGTGGCACTTGGGAGCAGGAATGCCTGGACTGGCATCTTAAGGCACCACTGCTCTGGCATTTCTTCTAGCGTGTTGTCGTTCAAACACTCAGTAGCTCCACTATATGGGGCAGCACATCAGTTCAGAATCTGCTCAGATCAGAACCCGTTAGGTGAGTTGAGCTGATGTCTTCCATGCTGTTTATTCATAAAGGAATAAGAGTTTCTTACTTGAAAGATCAAAGGTGGCACCTATGTGGATGTGGATGTGGAAACTTCCCTGGAAACTGGACTGCTCTGGGCCTCAACTCAGCTTTCTGCTGCTGCTTTTGCTTCCTGTGGAGGGACTCCATTCACACCCCTGCTTGTCCCTGTTTTGATACAGATAACCAGTTCAGGATGTCTATCCTGGAGCGACTTGAGCAGATGGAGAGGAGAATGGCTGAAATGACTGGGTCCCAGCAGCACAAGCCAGGTGGAGGCGGCAGTGGTGGCGGCAGCAACGGAGGTAGCCAAGCACAGGTACATGTTGACCCCATCTGTGTTCCTGGTGGCCCCTTGGAGCAGGTGGAAAACTGGGAGTTGTTGCAGTGTCCCTCTCTATGAAGCCAGAGACCACCCCCACCCCACTGGTTCACTTTCATCTGGCTGTGGAGTGGTTGACAGTGCTGCAAAAACAGGGGGCTTGCCAGGCCTAAGCAAAGGCAGAATTTAGTTTTCTGGTTCGTTTATTATATTTACATCTCACCATTTTTCTTCCAAGGACCTCAAGGCAGCTTACATGATTCTCCTCCTGCTCTTAGTCTTATCCCCACAACAACCGCCTTGTGAATAGGTTAGGCTGAGAGTCCAAACGCTAACATTGTGAGGAAGACAAAATTATTTCCATCTATGCTGCCCATAATTTTATTAAAAATGAATGGTTTTCAACATTCTCTTGGCACAAGATGTAAAATATCCGCATAGTTTGCGGTAGGGAGAGTTCATTCTTTCTAGGCATTTGGAAGGAAATCGGATCATACTTTAGACATCTAAACTTTATTTACTGCTTTTAGAAATGGAAAGGTTTCAATCCTATGGAAGTTTAGCCTATGACTCCAGCCTGCAGCAGAGCCATGCTGGGAGCTGTAGACTTTATTTTTTATTCGTTGTTGAAACTTGCATAGTATGCCACCTTAAATGAATAAAATTTAGTTAGCACAGGGTTTACACAATACTATTTTAATTTATGTAGGAGGTAAAGAAGTATCCTTTTGCTAAATGGCTAGGAAGAAAGAAACCGAAAGTTGAACAAGTGTTGTGGTAAAAGAAATGGAAGGGTTGATTTGGCCTCACACAGTGCCCTGACAGAGATTCTTTTGGCTTGCTAGAAATGGGGGAGCAAAGATAACACTGTGCTCAGAACAGGCGGATCACAGAAGGCAGGGATCGTTCTGAAAGAGCGAAGCTGTGGACTATTTTTAGAAATAACCAAGTGGAGGGTCCAGTTCCTCCCCACTCACTCTTTCTGCCTCCACTTATCTGCTGGGGAAAACTGATCCTGTGCCAAAAGACTCAGGGAGTGGCCCCCAGGGACAAGGTGTCAACGTTGTCAGCCTGGCTGGTCGCCTGGTCTGTCTCTGGGCATCTGGGAGCAAGAGCTCACCCCTGCAGTGCTGCCCATGGTCCTCCTGCTCAACCGTGGAACATGGTTTAGCCATGCCCCTGCACAACAAGGGCACCTTCTGTGAGCACCAGACTTTGCAGAGACAGGACCCTCTTGGGCCTGTTGTAGCAAAACCTCCTTTCCAGAAGGCCAACCCCAGGAGGAACGGTCTTGCTCACTCTCTGGTGGGTTTCTAAGCTGTGTCCCTTTCGTAGTGTGTTTCAGGAGCTGCAGCCGCTGCTGCTTTGGGGACCTGTTTTGAGAGCCGTGTGGTGGTCGTGTGTGAGAAGATGATGAACCGGGCCTGCTGGACCAAGTCCAAGCACCTCATCCATTCCAAGACTTTCCGGGGAATGACGCTCCTGCACCTGGCTGCAGCCCAGGGCTACGCCACCCTCATTCAAACGCTCCTCAAGTGGCGGTAAGACGAGGACGCCACAAGGAATGGGCCTAGACCTTCAGGGGTGGGGGTGGGAGGCAGGTGAGCGTAATTTGGTGCTGGCTTGGCTCAGTTCGCCTGTGGGAATGCCATGGAGGCATGGCTCGCAGGGATGCGAGGCTGTGCTGAGACCCAGTTAGAAGGCCCTGAAGGGCAGGACTGCCAGTTTCCAAGCATCCTTCCCACCTCTGCCATGGCTAGATGGTCCTCGTTTGCATGTCCCTTGAAGGATGAGCCATGTGTCATGGCTCCAAAGGTGCATAGGCTCACCAGCGGAATCCTGCAAGGCCTCTGAGTGCGCTGCAGGCTTGTGGCCTTTCCCCTGGGGAGCTCCTGGCCTGGAATTAGGTGGGCTCTTTCCCCGGACCCTTCTTCCTCCCCTCTTGCCAACGGCCTGAAGTGACTCCTCTCCTTCTTGGTTCCCAGGACCAAACATGCTGACAGTATCGACCTAGAGCTGGAAGTTGACCCACTGAACGTCGACCATTTCTCTTGCACCCCGCTGGTATGTGGCACGGGGCCCTGGATCCCTGGCCTTGTCCGGGAGATGCCAGGTTCTGCATGCTTGTGGTGATGGTACCTGCTGCGGGGTTCCACTGGGGGTCGGGGTGCAGTAGTTCCATGCCGCTTGCACAGCCCCTAGTATTTGAAATGAAGCGGGCAGCCTTCACCCATGTGCTTGCAAAGCAGGCAGTTTGGAGAAGGCCTGGACTTCTCCTTCCCCATGCACCATGGCCCACTGGCCTGCTTTTCTTTTCCAGATGTGGGCATGTGCACTGGGCCACATGGATGCTGCAGTAGTACTCTACAAATGGGACCGCCGGGCCATCTCCATCCCCGACTCCCTGGGGAGGTTGCCTTTGGCCATTGCCCGCTCCCGTGGCCACGTCAAGCTGGCAGAGCGCCTTGAGCAGCTACAACGGGAGGAGCAGACCCAACTCCGGCAAGCTGCCCGGATCCCTGCCTGCCCTTCCCGTGAGGAGCCCACCAGCGAGAACTGGATCACTCAGTGGCACAGCGACATGGTTGCCTCACAAGAGCCCCCCAAGGGAGTCACCGTGACTTCCAATTCCAGTACAGGTGGGTGTTTCGGGGAAAGGTCTTCACAGCCCATTCCTCTGTGCAAAGAATTCACATGGAAGAGGCGTGTGGCCCGTTCACCTCCATTCCTCACTCCCCGGAGACTTAGCAGGCATTAGGAAAAGACCACTTTAGAAGGACTGTGCCTTCTCTACTTCGTTTCTGGTGCTGTGTAGCTAGAGGCTTCCTGGGTGATTTAGCCATAGGTTCCTGTTTCCGCCAAACTGGGAAATGCTGGTTACTGAGATTGGAACAAGCCAGATCTGAAACCAGTTGTAGACTGTACTGTCAGTTCCTGGTTTATTCCAGTCCTGGTAACCATAGTTTCCACTTTGTGTGGAATGGGAACCTTCTGCCTCAGAGCTGGAGAAAGGAAGGGGCTGTTCAAGGCCAGAGGCACAGGCCAAAGGCGTGTGGATTATGGGGCATGATAACCACCCTCTGGGCTTTCGTCACACTATCCCATAACATGGGTTGTGAGAGGCAGCAGCGGGTGCTCGCGTGTCTAAATGGAGGGTGGCAGTGAGAAGGAGGGGGGAGGGGTTTCTGTGGGGTTTGGTTGGGATCCTAAAAAAAGTGTGAAGTGCTTTTTTCATGTGCTTAAAGTGGAACAGGAGGGATTTGGAACCTTTGCGAAAAAGAAAGAGCGAGTGATGGGGAAATTTGCTTGTTGACAGAGGAGGCTGGGGGAGTTTGCTGTCTGCAAAGTATGCTTTGGTTGCACTGAAAACTGGGCTCCAAAGCGCTCTTTGGCATGATGGGGCACAGATCCCACTCTGCCCTGTGCCCGGACTTTGGGGTGGGTGAGCAGCTGCTTAGTCACTTCTTCCATGGCAGCCCTTTTGAGGTGGCATCAGGATGTATCCTCAAGTTGCCTGGTGTGCCAATGGACCACAAAAGACAGTGAGCCCCCCGTGTGACCCAGGGAGGGGCCATGCAGGCAGATTGAAATGTGGCCCTTTCTAACTTGCTGGGGGCAAGTCTAGCCCCAAGATGGCCTCCCAGCTGCCGCTTCCTGTATGGCGCTTCTCCAGAGACTTCCCACTGCCACACCAGCGGAGCACTCGCCCAGCAAGGGGCACACGTCTCCCTACACGCAGCCTACTGGGGGCACTCGGCACCCCTTGCCTGACCCTCACCCCCTCCCCTTGCTCTGTCTCTGTGGGTCAGCAGCCCCTTGGCCACCGGAGCTGCCTGGCCTGGGTGGCCAAGGGGAGGTGGGCCGCCTCTCAGAGACCCGGCCTTGTCCCTTGGCAGGACTGACCTCCTCTTGCTTTGCTTTCAGAGCTGAGACGGCCACGGTCTGAGCCCTCCAGTTACTACAGCAGTGAGAGCCAGAAGGATTACCCAGCACCAAAAAAACACAAACTGAATCCTGAATACTTCTCGGCCCGGCAAGAGAAGCTCCTTTCCACTGCCCTGAGTCTGGAACAGCCCAGTGCCCGGAAGCAGAGCCCCGGCACAAAGCACCCCCTTCCTGAGACAATCAGCCCCCCGCCCGGGTTGCGGGACTGTGGCCGAGAGATCGCCCCAGACATGTCCAGCTACCGTGGCAGCCCCCTCAGGCAGGCGGGGCCCAAGTGGAGCCCAAAGGAGGCCTACGCTGCCCTGTCCGCGGCGCAGGTGGGGGGTGGCCCCAAGGGCATGGCACTGGGCAAGGACACGGTGGCCCTACGGCTGCAGCAGCGGGAGCAGATCGGCATGCTGATGTTGGCGGACCGGGAAGTGGCAGATGCGGCACTGCTGTCTTTCCGGGACGTTGCAGAGAGTGAGGACGGCTTGCAGCAGGTGGATGACTTGCAGGTACGAGGCAGGTGCACATCACGCAGGCCACAGGCGACGGATGGTAGCCACTGGGAGGACGCGTTCTGCACATGGTGGCTGGCCTCCCAGAGGGCGGAGCAGTGCTCCGTGTTGCAGCTCGAGGCAAATTAGAGGGGCAGAGTTAGACAGGAGGGCAAGGACTCCCACGTGGAAGGAGCCAAGTTGGCATGGCCTGTGTGCCCACGTTGGCCTCAGACCCATCATTTCCCAGCAAGTTTTGCTCCAACCCCCCAAAGAGTATGGCACCAATGCTCACACATTTCAAATGAAATGACTTAGCAGAGCACTAGCATAAAACCTTTTACTTGTTCCATGCTTCTCACAATCAAAAAGTGCCAGAAGACACAGCCAGATTCTGCTAATGTTTCCTGGGAACCAAGGCCTGTAGGTTTCAGGGAGGGTTCCCTCCAAGATTTGGGACTGCAGCATTAAAGAGTCAAACATTAACGGTCATGGGGAAGTTGCTTTGAAGGGATTCTGGTGATTATCTGGGCCAACCCCCTTCTCTCTCTTTTTTTTAATATTTTATTAAAATTTTTAAACTAACAAAAATCAAACATCACAAACATTGGATTCACTGGGTCAACCTCCTACTACATATTTTTTAACATTCTAATATCAAATTCCAATTAATTTATCATAGTTTGAAAAACATCTCTAAATTTACGCCAAGTCCCATTTCTCCAGCCAATTATAAAGAGTCCCAAGTTCAATAGAAATCAGTATCCTTTTTCTCCTTCAACGATAAAGTAGTCTATCCATTTCTGCACAGTCCAAGATCTTTCTTACAATCAGTCCATTGGTGGGCAGCTCCTCACTTTTCCAATATTGAGCAAATGCAATCCTCGCCACTGTAATTAGATGCAACATCAAATAGATTTCCTGTCTGTTAACATCTTCTGGTATAATGCCTAACAAGAAAACTTTGGGTTTAAGAACAAAGGGTTTTTGTAATATTTCCTCCATCCATCTATGTATTTTAATCCAGTACTTTTTTGCGTTGTCACAAGTCCACCACATATGATAAAAAGTACCCACTTTACGTTTACATTTCCAACATCTATTTGACATATTTGGAAACAGCTAGTTGACTTGGTGACAAATACCATCTATAGAACATTTTATATATGTTTTCTTTATACAAAGTTGCTAAAGTTACTTTAATGTTTCTTTCCCATAGTTTTTGCCACTTTTCTAGTTCAACATTAAATCCAAAGTTTTGTGCCCATGTTATCATAGTTTTCTTAACCTGTTCCCCTTCCATTTTCCTGTCAAGTAAAAAATCATATAGTCTTTTAATAATTTTCTCATCTGTTTTAAGCATCACTTGATCAAATTCTGTTAGGTCTCTATCGAACCCCCATGTTTTACAATCCTTGGCATATCTTGATTGCATCTGCACCTTATACCACCAGGAAATATTAAGTCCCTGTTCTTGTGTTTCTTGCTCCAGTTTCAGGCCACCATCCTTATCCAGGATATCGCCATATCTTATGATCTTTTCAAAGTTCAATACATCTGGATATACAAAAGCTTCCACAGGGGAAAGGCCAACCCCCTTCTCAAAGCAGGGCCTGTGCTGCAGGCTGCCACCACAGTATCAGCATCTTCCCCTGTTGGAAGTTGCACCGCATGTTTAGTCCAGATTTGCTTCCCTCTAATTTCTACTCTTTGGCTCCAGCCCTTCCTTGGGGAGCAACAGGTAAGACCCTTCCTGGCCTTCTGCAGAACAGCCTTCCAGACTCGAAGGCTGCTGCCATGGTCTCCACTTCATCTTCCCTTGGACAAAGCAGCCCCCGCCTTTCAGCTGTTCCTCCAGGACTTGGTTTCCATCCTGCCCTCATCGTGGCTGCTCTTCTCCAGACACCCTCCGGTTTGCAAATTGTCACGGTTCTAATTTGAAAGACACACAGATGTGGTTTCTATGCCCATGGAAGCATTAGACGTAATGACTAAAATACAGGGTAAACTTACTGTCCTTTGCACAAAGGACTTGATAGGCTTCTAAAGCAGCATGATTATTGCGGCTGTGCCCGCCACACGAAGGTGGTGGTCAGCCAGCTCAGGAGGAGGCATGGTTTTCTGTGCACTGGGAGCAGCGAGTAGAGCTGCCAAAGAATCCGGCTTGTTTACAAGTCTTAAGAACTGATGGATTTAACTGTGGGTAGAAGAGATAGAAACTCTCACTTTTTTGTGAACTTACTAAATTTTTAAATTGTATGTTATAGCTCAGTAATATCCCTTGGCATCCTTTTTCATTTGTGTGTGTGTGTGTGTGTGCGCGCGCGCACACACGCATGCACACATTCGTGAGTGTGTCTATTTCTCTTTATTTGTACCTTACCTCTTCTTAAAGAAGAAACAGACAGAGGCAGCTGTGGTGCCGGCTCTGAAGCGGACAAAGAGCAGTCGGTGGGGCTGCCGATCTCTTCCTACCAGGAGAGGCAGGGAGCCCCCTCAAGACGACAGCCTTTCGCCCCTGCAGGCAACCATGATGACCCTGGCAGAGCACATCATTGAGGCCACCCCGGAGAGGATCAAGCAGGAGAACTTTGTGCCGGCTGAGACACCCCCAGCTGAGCGGACGGAGAGCCCAGCCATCAGCACCTCCATGAGCTGGCTGGCCAGTTACCTTGCCGACGTCGACCACTTGCCAAGCGCTGCTCAGATCAGGTCCGTGCTGCAGCTCAGCCCGGCCAGGCCATGGCCTCTGGTGCCTGGCTGGGCAGAACAACCCCAAGCCCTGGGCTCAAGCTGGACTTTGCCAAGGCAAATGATGTTCCCAGAGAACGACGCAGCTTCTGAGGCCACGGGGGGTAGTCTCCCTCCTTCCGCTGGGCCACACAGGATCTGGCTGTGGGGAAAACCTCTTTGCCCAGAGAAGGGGAAGAGCCAGAGGCAGAGAAGGAGCACTGCGTTTGCATGAGGGGATGCCAGTGGGGTGAGAAAGAAGCTAGAAGCACACGAGCGCTTGGCGGAGGGTCCTGGAGGGAACAGAGCTCTGTGGGGACAAAAGACTCCCTGCCCCTTCAGGGGACCACTGGAAACCAACATTTTTCAGAGCTGGCTTCATTCCGGCTTGTAGACTGTGGACCAAGTTGACAGGTCTGAGGAGTTATGGTGCACTGTCACCCACAATCCACAGGGATTAAAGGGAAAACAGGAGAGTCCTGTGGCCCCTGGAAGGCTAGCAGTGGTGTCCCAGAGAAGCTCCGTGGAACATAGGCAGCGCTGGCAGGTGCCAAGGGACAGTTGGGCAGCTGCCTGACCCCTTTCTGCAAAGGGGCAGGAGCATCAGCTGCCAGGGGCATGCTGACAAGCGCCCTCCTGTCCCTGCAGCCGTAAACGGGCTGAGCAGGCTTACTTCCGAGTAACCCCTAGTGCTCAGGGAGACTGGCTCCAAGCCCTGCTGCACTCCCGGCAGCTCTCTCCCGGCCTCTCTGGGAGGGGGCAGGGGTGGGTTTCAGCCCCTGCAGCAATAAACTGCTAGGGCTGAAGCCAGAATGGGCAAACCCAACCTGGCGAGGGCCTCAGGGACACACTGCCAGAACAGCCTCCCAGGGCTGAGGAAAGGAAGGGACCTCTTTTGGCAGAGGGGGGCAACTCCACTGCTCAGAGCATCTCCACACCTGGTGCCGAACTGCCAGCCTTGGGCTCCTCTCTGGGGTGGAGGTGATGGGGGCACAGAGATTGTCCCTGCCGCTCCACTGAACTCTGCTTAGTTGTGGGGATGCTCCTTGCCCCACAACAGCTCCAAGTGGGAGAGACAGCTGGGACCCCTCTCTTGCCAGAAACAGTAATGGCGGCAGGAGCAGGAGCAAAAGCAGAAGCAGGCCTTTAGGATACACATAGGCCCTGGCTGGGTTCTGAACATGACAGTGCTCTCTGCCCTGCTCCTGTTTTGCATTTGCCCCACCATCAGCCCCTGCTTGCTGGTGGCTTTTCTTTCCTGGGGCAGGGGCAAGCTGCCCACGGTGACCCTCTCCCCACATCCCTGTGCCTGTTCTTGCAGAAGCCTGTATGGCAGCCCCCTGACGCCTCCTTCCCATACCAGCCTGAGCCCGGCCAGCTCACCTGTCTCCGAGGTGGCTTGCGAGAAGCCCCGCCTCCCCTCGGCCACCGACTGGTCCGAATTCCTGAGCGCCTCCAGCAGCGAGAAGGTCGAAAAGGAGTTTGCACAGCTCACCCTCTCCGACCACGAGCAGCGAGAACTCTATGAGGCAGCCAGGCTGGTCCAGACAGTCTTCAGGAAATACCAGGTGGTGGGCCTCTCTGGGGGAGGCAAGCCAGAGGGTGGGCGGGGGGACTCGCTCCTTGGCCCTTCCAACGGAGCCTGCCGGAGCAGGACAGAGGCTGTGCCGGCTGCTGGCTGGCACCTGCCACCCCTCCCAGACCGGAGGAGGGGCAGCACAGCCAGCGGCCGAGCGAAAGCAGTGCAAGGTCACCCCAGCAGGTTCCTCCTCCAAGCACAGAGCTGTCCCAGCAGCACGGACCCATCATCATCTTCATGGGCAGCTGCAAAGATGGGGCGGGGGGCACTGTGGATCGTGGCCCTCCAGCCATGTTGGTGCCAGGCATGCATTGGAGAGTGACTGCACAAGCCCACCTTCTGTGCCTTCGTGCCTCTCCTGCCTTCTTGCTCAGGATCTCTTCAGGGCCCTTCTTTATCCTCTAAGTCCGAGGCAGGCATAGCTCGTGTAGAAAGCCCGGGTCCAGTAGAGCACCAGCCTGGTGGGCCTGCCAGGGGCACCCAGGGAGGTGCATCACCCCCATGCCTTGGGCTCCACTCTGCCTCTTACCGCATTAGAAGGATCTGCCCAAACGGATGTCCCCCAGAGGGCCCAGCCCAGAATTCTTGATCATCGGCCTGGGGCTGAGGGAGCCAAAATGCGGGAGGGGCCTGCTTGGCTATGCGTGCAGAAACCCACCCATGCTTCCTGTGGGCTGCCTCCTGGCCTGGGTGACATCCCCCTTTTTCAGGGAGCCTCTGAGTTCAGAGGCCTGCTGGCTGCCTGGCTGCAACAGGGAGAGTCACGAGGAGGCCCTCCTCCTCCCCCTCACCAGGACACCCATATTCCGGGAAGCCCTGAAGGGGAGAGAGCGGCACACACACAGCCCAGCCCCGTCACCTGCCCATTGCAGCGCCATGCTGGCAGGCACCTTAGTCAGATATCCTCCCGGGGGCATGGTAGTCGCTCTGGAAGGGCCGTGTGGGGGCTTGCGGTGCCAGTCCCTGTAGCCACAACCTCCCCCATGAGGATCACACAACTCGGGCAGCACCGTGTCTCACCAGGAGCCCATTTGCTGGAAGCCTGCTCAGGCCTTGCGTGGGGAGCAGCGTGCCCTAGGCCCCACCCCTCGGCACTTCTTTGCGGACTGCAGCTGAGCACGGGGGAGCAGGGGATTGGTGGCCAATCTGCCGATCGGGAAGGGCTGCCCTTCACCCTGGCTCGCTGACTGGAGGCCGAGGCTTCCTCAGGTGGAACTTTGTGTCGTGGAGAACGCCTTGTCGGTGGGGCTGTGCCTCCGGGCCGGTGGCGCCTCACTGCCCAGCCTCCTGCCCTGCACCAGCTACTGCTGATCTGTCAAGGGTGCGCTTTGCCCACCCCTGGCTCTGCTTCCGTGGCTGCTGCTGGTCGGACTGGCACAAGGCACCTCCTGGTGGCCACCAAAGGTCCCAAAAGGGAACTGCCTGGCACCCCACGTGCCCTCATTCTCGTACTGCCAGTTCGCACAGGAAGCTCCTCTGTGCTGCTCCGGGGAATTCTTCACACGATAAGCTCTTTGTCCCAAGCCAGTTTGGGGTCCACCTTCCTCCCTGCCTTGCTTGCCAGGGCTTGATGTGGCCCCGCACAGGGTCACAACCCTTGCAGGAATCCCTTTCCTAGCATTATTCTGTGGCCCTCCCCTGTGTGACGGCAGCCCCCCTGCCCCTACAGCAGCCCCCCTACCATGTTTCCACCTTCCTTTTTAGGGACGCCCCCTCCGGGAGCAGCAGGAAGTTGCCGCTGCCGTCATCCAGCGCTGTTACCGGAAGTACAAGCAGGTGAGCGGAGGGGGGCGTTCAGTGGTGCCCTGGGAGCTGCCCCACTGCTTGTGGCAAGCTCCTTCCCCATGGAAGGGGCTTTGGGCTCTGCTCTGCCATGTCAGAGAGGGGCTACTTTGGACACAGAGGTGGCCCATGGTCCGCTCTGTCACTGACAGCATGGGCCGCTCCAGCGTCAGCTCGGCACATTCCAGGGAGCCAGGCCCCCTGAACATGGTGCTCCTCGTGCTCGGTTGCATGTCTCCAGCAGCACCTCCGCTGCAGGGCTGGCTTTCACACCCTGTGGAGGAGACTGTCCTTGCCAGCCTCTGCTCCACGCGCAGCTTCCGTGCTTCACCAAGCTGCACCTTTGCCAGAGCATCAGGTGGTGCCTGCCTGCGGCTCCCCGCTGCAGAGCAGAGCTCCTGTGGCAGGCACGCAAGGTCTCGCTGTCCCTCTGCATGTGGGGAGCAGCTGCTGAACAGAGCTGTGGAAGACCACAAATCTGGACAAAGCGCTCTGCCCCAGCCATTGCCCTGTTGTGCTAGTCTTCTGCATGCAGGGTTTTCCGACTGCAGTGAAGCCCCATCATGCCTGGAGACCCTGAGGGTTGGGCTGGTTTGTGAGGATTAATCAGAATCACCTGCAGGTGTGGGTGCTGCACATACCACTGTATCTACAGCCCCGGTCTGGGTCTGTGCTGTCCACTTTCCTTGCTTCTGTTTGCCAACTGCCATTCTGCATCCCACCTCAAATGTCTCTGCGAGGCTTTCCAGACCTGGTATTTGGATCGCAGTTTGCAGGGCGTCAGGGAAGTCCATGTTACCAGGGGATCATCAGAGAGTCCAGAGGGTGTGCTGCAGTTAGACTGCGGCCTCAGCCAGCTGATCCTGCCAGCAGCAGCTGGTCTGCTGCCAGCTTCCATTGCCACAGCTGCAACGATCCTCTGAACTCCTTTGGTGGGCTGGCAGTGTTAAGCAGCCAAAACAGAAGCCCCCCCCCCCCCCCGGCCGGGGGGGGCTGGGCGGGGACCGCCCCGGGGCCCCCCCCCCCCCCCCACTTGCTTCGCATGCTGCTTTCTGCTTTCTCAAGAGCCAGGGAAGCGCCAGGACGACTCGCCACTTGTGAGAGGCCATTTGGGCTTGGCCTTGATCCTGCTCGGAGGCAAAACCGTGGGGACGGGGAGTGCCACTGGCTTTCACGCAGCCCCTTCTGCACACCCAGGCACGAGGTGCCCTCACGCACAGAACCAGCATGCGGGCATGAAGTTGGGCTGCTCTGCCTGGGCCTCCCTGCCCCTTGCTTAGGCGGAACTCTCAACTCTGGCGTCTTTTTGGGAGCGTGATGGAGCATGGCTCTGCAGCTGCCGAGGTCTGAGTTTGGCATCGAGCGGCCCGAGCAGATGCCGTGCCGTTCCTCACGAACACGAAGAATGGCTGCCCCCGCTGCACCCCGCACTCCCCTCCCCGTGCCTGGCTGCCCCAGTCACCTGTTGCTCTTGAGGAGTCCTCGCGAGGCAGCCCGCAGCTGGCGGGGCGTGTCAGGGCGGCCCTCGCTCTGTGCTGCCAGTGACGGAAGCCAAACTTTAATCTTGTATTTTCTGTTTCTCCCCAACCAAGCTTACTTGGATAGCCTTGAAGGTAATGACTCAACACAACACGTGTTTGGGCTCTCAAGCTCTTCATGTTCCTCACAAGCCGGGGAGAAATTTCTCTTGGCTAGAGCACACCTGGTTGCATCCCATGTGGAGAGTGCATGCCAGCATTGCCCCTCTGGCGGACGCCTTTCCTGTAGGAAGAAGGGGGAGAGGAGGAAAGTATGACCAGGTGCCACTGTTCTGAAGCCACAAAATTAGGAGGGCCAGGCTGTGGGCTGCATGGGCCGGCCAGCCCCAGAGGCCACTGACTCGGCCTCTGTTGCATTCCTCAGAGACCCCCACCACAACTTCACCGACCTCCTGGTGGCCATGCCTGGGAGGTGGGTGGCAGATGGCCTGCCTGTTGATAGACAGGCTTGAAACAACTTTTCGGCACATGACCAACTTTTCAGAGCTTCCCCAGCCCCTTTGGCTGCAGCCCCCTAGCGCCACGTTGGACACAGATCTCCATGGGAGGGACTGTTGTTAATTGCACTGCTGGCAGCGGCGCCTGAGCTTAAAGGTGAAATAGTCACTCAGGGTTGGAGGGGGGCTTTTGAGTGCGACTGCCATGCACAGGGAAGGGAGATGTTCCCCTTCCCCTCGAGCTGTAGCCCCAAGAAAGATCGCCCAGCTGCACATTGGGTGATGTTGGTTTTCTCTTGACATTAGAAAGCAGGAAGTGCTTTCCCCCAATTTCCACACAGGGCAGGGAACAAGGTCAGTGGGAGGGGGAGTGTTACGGGAGGGCAAACACTCCCCACTGCTGTTCCCCACACCTTCCTGGGAAATGGCTTAGTGAGCCCCATTCAGTGGCAGGCCAGGCTGCCCCCAAGTGCCAGAAAATGCAGTAGATGCCTATTGCCTAGCTTTTCCTGATATATTTAATTGTTCTCCACTGGCTAGTAGCCAAAGTTCTCTGTGAGATCCACATAACAAGACTTAAGCCCATAAATGTTAATAGCACAGAATGGCTCAAAGCATGCAAAACTTGAAGAAAGAATAAGCTGCTGGGGAGCTTCCAGTCTGCTGGCCCCTGCAACAGGAGGCACAGGGGCTGCAAGTCCAGCCCTTGGTCCAGGCGGGCATGCCCGTCCATGTGCATCCAGCAGAGGCAGAGTCTGGGATGCCTGGGTGGCACCAGGCCCTGCAGGTTGCAAGGGCATCTGAGAAGGGGCATGGAGCAAAGTGATTGTCCTGGGAAGCTGATCCTTTGGCCTCGGGCAAAGAGGGAGGGGCTGCTCGGGGCAGGGCTGGCACCTCCACTGCGTGGCTCTGGCAGGGCGGTGGGGGAGAGCCCCCTCCCTGCTGGGCCCACCCTCCCGTGTCCATGTTAAAATGTTTTGAATCTAAGTACTTTTGATATTTATTATAAATATCCAACATAATATTGATACTGTTAATGATCACTAAGTATAAAGAGAGAGTCCAGGCTGCTGGGCAGGCGTAGAGCTTTCCCCCACTGCTCCCCGGCCTCGCCCTCCAGAGGGGGTGCGTAGAGACGCGGTTGTCTCGGCGGGTGCCGGCTGCGCCGGTGCAGCCTCTTGCCATGTTGCTGCTTCTATCCCAAAACCCCCCATGCCGCATTTTTGTAAGCCATGCCCCTCCTCTCTCTCAAAGCCATTTGCTCAAGTAAATTACGAGATGTGGATTCCCGCGCTGGCTGCCTCTTCTACAAAGCCGCCCTCTGCCTCAGCGAGCAGAGGTGAACGGGTTGGCCGGTTTGCAGAGCTTCGCATGTACAGACGTGTGGACTGAAGCCAAGCCCTCGGAACACATATTATTATTATTATTATTATTACATTTCTATGCCGCCCCTTGCCGAAACCTCGGGGCGGCTTACAACATGATAAAATACATTGAAATACAATAGTACATAATAAATTACCATTAAATATAACAATACAAAAAATACATTGATTTACAAATACAAAATTAAAATTATCAGTATAAAATAAAAATATAGGAGGAGAAAGAGAAGGAAGAAGAAGTTGCCCAGGCCAGATCATATGTTTTAACAATTGAAATGATGTTTAAATAAAAGGTCTTTACCTGGCGCCGAAAAACCAGTAACGACAGTGCCAGGCGGACCTCTTTGGGGAGTGAATTCCATAGGTTGGGCGCCACCGCAGAGAAAGCCCTCCTCCGGGTACTTACTCTCCTAATTTCTTTCATGGAGGGTTCCCGGAGAAGGGACTCTCCCGCAGATCTCAAAGGGCGGTCGGGCATATACGGACGTAAGTGCTCGTTCAGGTAGTCAGGACCCAAGCCGTTTAGGGCTTTGTAGGTCATAATCAACACCTTGAATTGGGCCCGGGCTTCAATGGGAAGCCAGTGAAGCTGATGGAGGACTGGAGTCATGCGAGCATAACGCCCCGTCCCCGTCAGCAACCTGGCAGCTCTATTTTGCACCAATTGAAGTGTTCGGACTGTCTTCAGGGGAAGCCCCACGTAAAGCGCGTTGCAGAAGTCTAGGCGGGAAGTCACCAGCGCGTGTGTCACCGTCGCCAGGCAGTCGTACATATGGGGCATCTTGGAATTTTCTTCCCTCTGGAAAGACAGCAGTGGGATAGTGTTGCCTTTCGAAGAGAGCCCGTGTTTGATTAGCCACCTAATCCCTTCCGGAATGTTCCACTTTTGATCCTAGGGCTCGCTGAGACTGGGGGCCGACTTGCCCTCGGCCTGCAGGCAGCGGCTTTCACAGCCGCCTGAGCATCGCCTCCCCTGGGCGTCAGGCGCCGGCCACCCAGCCTCTGGAGGCGGGGGGGGGGGGCGGGGGGCGCTTCCGCGAAGAGCAAGCCCGCAGTTGGAGCAGGAGGAGAGGAGGGCGAGGGCGGGAGGAGAGTCTGCTTGCGGTTTCTCCGTGCCCCGCTATTTCCCGCCCCTTGAGCCGCCGCAGCAAGAAGAGACTCTGTCAGTGGCGGCCATGAGGTCGCTCTGCGGCTTTCTCTCGGGGGTGCCCAGGACATGTCGGGGCTTCTGCCGCAGGGACCGCAGCCCGTGCACTTCAGCGTCTCTCTCTTTGTCCCCCTCCCCTCCCCTCGCCCCTTTCGCTTTGCAGTATGCACTTTACAAGAAGATGATACAAGCTGCCATTGTTATCCAGAGCAAATTCCGAAGCTATTATGAGCAGAAGAGATTCCAGCAGAGCCGAAGGGCTGCTGTCCTCATCCAGCAATTCTATCGCAGCTACAAGGAATGTGGCAAGAGAAGGCAAAGTCGCAGGACGGCTGCCCTCGTGCAGCAGAAGCTCAGGTGGGCGTGCGGGGGGCCCGCGGCTTCGCTTGAGAGCTGGCACAGCCCAGCTGGACAGAACGGGCAGGACGCGCCAGCCTTTGCAGAGCGGAAAGAGCCACATGGACAAGCGGGGCAGTGGTCAAGAGTGCGGGGTGGGGACCCAGGCAATCCGGGTTCTAGGCCCCCCCTCACCCACGGGGCTAGCTGGGTGGCTTTGGGCCAGCACAGACTCTTGGCCCAGCCTACCTCACATGGTGGTTGTTGTGGGGATAAGCTTGGGAGCAGCAGCCGAGGAAACTGATGTAAGCTGTGCCAAGTTCTTTGTTAGAAGAAAAGCAGGATATAAACCTAATAAATAACCACCAGTTCTTGAAGCCGCTCCAAAGGGAAAGGAACCCGAAAGGGTGGGATGTCTAAATGAAAGAAATGCTTAAGGCACAAATAGAAACAATTCCAGCATGGAAAAGGAGTAGTAGACAACAGAGGAAGCCCATGTGGCAATGATAAGAGCCAAAGAAAAGGCAGAAGTGCTCAGAACAGCACAATATAAGGCAATTGGTTAATTTATGTCAAAAAGTGAGGGCTGGCCAGTGACTCCTGCCCGCCCTGCAGAGCTGTGCATTTAATTGCGTAATTCACACCTTGTCATTCTGGGTCAGATGTGCTTTGGGCAGCTAAACCTTTGTTTTGATTGTTTGTGTTTCTTACATTTGTTAAGATGATTAGTCTGCATGCATCACGGAGAAATAACCACAAGCCATTATGTGACAAACAGGAAGCGCTATTCTTAGCCAGGCCTTCCCCACGGAAAAGGAGCCTGTTTTGCTCAGGAAGGGTCTTGCGAGGACTTTGATCGTGCTCCTTTTAAAGCTCCCCACTAAAGGCCCAAATTGATCACTGCCGTGCAGAGGAGAAGGTGGCTAGCCAGGCCCCTGGCCAGCCTGGCAGGGCACACACAAGGGGCAAGGGGCAAGGGGCAACCCGAGAGAGGCTGGAGAAGGATCCGGAGAAAAGGTTTGGCGACATTGTGCAAGCACTAAAGGCTGCCTGCCCCGGTCCTCTCAAGCCGGCACTCAGAAGAGGGGCGCACCCCCGGTCTGCCGCTGCCCAGCACTCGCCTTGGCAATGCGCAAGGCTCTGGAGTGCCACGTGCCCGTAGGAGTGGGGCCCTCGTGTTCAGCTCCCAGTCTGGAGGAGGGCAGGGACCAGTCAGGGATGCCACCGGCTGCCAGCTCCAGAGTCGGGCTGTGGTGCCTGCCCTGCCCAGCCCTGCCCTGCCCTGCCCTGCCCTGCCCCAGGAGTGCCTCCATCCCACGTCCCCTCCAAGGCGGAACTGCCACACGCCCCAGGGTCAGCGAGGGAAAGCGATGCAGCCGGGGCACCCCTGAGCCAGGCAGCCCCGCAGGCCTGATCTTGCCAACATCACAGGCAGCCCTTGCGGGGAGCCCACGCTGCGCTCCCTCGCTGCCCCCCTTTCTCATTTCTATCGCTGTGACATCAGTGACCAAAGAAGCACAAAAAGCTAAGAGGTAAACTGAAAACAGAAGGGGCATGCACAGGAGCTGGAAGGAGGACCAGGCTCCAAAGGAAGAATACCAGCAAGTAGCAAGGAACTGCAGGGACGACATCAGCAAGGCTAAAGCGATAAAGAGCTGAGGCTAGCGAAAAACAACAAAGAAGCCTTCTTCAAATATGTCCAAAGCAAAAGACAGTCAATTTATTGCATTTAGCCATGGGCCATTACTAGTTAACAAGGTAAAACATTAACAAATGAAACCATAAATCAAATATATTAAAACACAATATTAAAAGATAGAACTGGTGTGATTCAGGTCAGCGTCCCCTTCAAAGCGTCCATAGCTCTTACCTTTTTAGCTGCGAGAGCAAAAAGAATCATACAATAGAAGAGTTGGAAGGGGCCATGAAGGCCATCGAGTCCAACCCCCTGCTGTTGCAGGAAACCAAGTTACACCTCCCCACTCAGATGGCTGTTCAGTTTCTTTTTGAATGTCTCTAGTGAAGGGGAGCCTACCACCTCCCTAGGCAGCTGGTTCCACTGCCATATTGCTCTGACAGTGAGGAAGCTTTTTCTGATGCCCAGCCTGAATCTGGGTTGTCGCAACTTGACTTGTTTATTCCGTACTCTATACTCTGGCATCAGCAAGAGGAGACCTTGACCTTCCTCTTTGTGACAGCCTTTGAGGTACTTAAAGAGGGATAGCGTGTCCCCCTTCAGTCTTCTCAAGGCTGAGCATGCCCAGTTCCCTCAGTCCCTCCTCACAGGGCAGTGTTTCCAAACCTTGGATCATTTTTGTTGCCCTCCGCTGGACCCTTTCTAATGTTCCTGCATCTTTCTTAAATCTTGGTGCCCAGAACTGGACACAGCATTCCAGGTGAGGTCTGACTAGTGAGGAATATGGAGGAACTGCATGATGTAGAAGTAATACATCTATTAATGCATCCCAAAATAGCACCCCCGTCCCCGCCTTGCCTCGCCGCGCACACCCGCCTGCACCTCACTGCGCCTGCACGCTCTGCCTCAGCGCCCGCACGGGCCCATGCGCCCTGCCGGCATCAGCTTTCTGGCCTGCGCCCAGCACCGGCACCTTTCAACTGGCTCCCTGGTGAAAAAGTTTGAGGACCCCTGTTCTAGGGTGTTTGCTATTCCACCCAGTTTTGTATCATTTGCATATTTGATTATTTTTCTTTGTACTTCATCTAAATCATTAAGAAAGATGTTGAAGAGCACTGGGCCCAGGACTGCCACCCCACTAGTTACCTCCATCCAATTTGAGAAGGTGCCATCGATGAGCACTATATGTGTCCAATTTAGCAGCCAATTTTGGATCCACCTAATAATTTTTCTACCTAGTCCAATTTTTGCTAATTTGCTTATCAGAAAGTCATGTGGCACTATGTTGAAAGCTTTGCTAAAGTCTAGGTAGATTATGTCCACAGTGTTCCCTTTGTCCATTTGGGAAGTTACCCAGTCAAAAAATGAGATTAAATAAATCTGACCCAATTTATTTTTGATAAATCCATGCTGGCTTCTATTAATCACTGCATTTTCAAGATGCTTGCGGATGAATTTTTTAATAATTTGCTCCAGAATATTTCCAGGGATTGACATCAGACTAACTGGTCTATAGTTCCCAGGTTCATCTTTCTTCCCCTATTTGAAGAAAGGACAACGTTAACCCTTCTCCTGTCGTCTGGCACTTCTCCTGTTTTCCAAGATTTATTGAAGATAATAGTCAGTGGTTCTGAGAGTTCCTCCGCTAGCTCTGTTATGACTTTGGAATGGAGTTCTTTGGGCCCTGGAGATTTGAAAGCAGGGGTGTCCAACCTTTTGGCTTCTCTGGGCCACATTGGAAAAAAATAGTCTTGGGCCACACATTAAATATGCAAACACTAACAAAAGCTGATAAGCAAAAAAAAAAAAAAAAGTCAGAGCATAATTTTCGTGATAACTGCCACCACAGATAAGCAAAAAAGTCCTTACATAATCCAAATTAGGTGGCGCCTTGATTGGAGAGTCTTTTAAAATTGTCAAGCAAGTCCAAAGTTTGTGAACGCTAATAGAGAAAATGAACGTATCTAAGTAATAAAACTTCATTGATTTTTTTAATTTTTTATTATAAACGTAAAAGAAAATAGGGCAACATAAAACCGGTGGGATATTTGACATTGTATTTGAGAAACTAATGGATCAATATTTGGTTTAATGGAAGTAGTTGCAATTCTCACTTCTCAAGGTGCTCATCAGATATTCTGGTTCTAATTTTGCTGTTAGTGTGCTTCATTCTTGAAAATAGTTGCTCACAAATGTAGGTACTTCGAAAAAGTGAAGACATGAATAAGGCTTGATAGTGAAGCAAAGGATATTTGTCTCTGGGACGATGGGACCTATACAAGTCCATGATCAATTTTTTCTTTAAGTTGAACGTCAGGTTGCAGCTCTATACATCCCATTTGAAAATTGTCAGGTAACATATTTATGTCGACTGAAAATGGAGTCGCAAATATACCAAAATAGTGATTATTTTCCCAGAAATCTTGAAATCTGTTTTCAAATTCTTGTATAAATTGAAAAACAGGGCTGCATATTTTTCACTGTCCACAGGACTGTGTTTAGCCAATGTGTCGAAATGTATGAAATTGTTTGCAACAGTAGGTTGAAAGATCATTAATAATAGCTGTGTTTCACTCTCTAAGTCACCATGAGCACATGTAATGTCTGATGGTGTAAATTTGACTGTCTGTGCTTGGAATATAATACACTGGAAGATGCAGACTGCCATAAAACTGAAGCCATACATGTGTACAAATAGTGAGAGCATAGGTATGTTTATTTTACATGACATTGTGACACGACATTGTTGTCTACAAAGTACACTCTGGGGAACTGCGCGATCGACTTACAAAAAAATTGCAAAAGACCCCTCTGTTTTAAGTTAGTGTACAATTTTGGTTGGGCCACATTCATAGCCCTTCTGGACAACATGTGGCCCCCAGGCCACGGGTTGAACACCCCTACTCTACAGGTGCCTCAATGGCTGTCACAAAGAGGACACACAATAATAATAATAATAATCTCTTCTTGTGCATTCCAGAGTGCAGGGCATAGAATGACAGATTTAAGTTGAACCAGATTTAGACTAGACACGAGGAAGAATTTCCTCACTGTCAGCGGAGTATGGCAGTGGAATCTATTCCTGGGGAAGTTGAGGGCTCTTCTGTACTGGAGACATTCAGAAAGTGTCTGGATAGCCATCTGAGTGGGATGGTGTAAGCTGGTGACCTGCAACAGCGGGGGGTTGGACTCGATGGCCTCCATGCCCCCTTCCAACTCTGCTGTTCTATGATTCTACAATTCAAACTGGGTTCCTGTGTCAGATGGCCCAAGAAGTGTTCCACTTGGCCTCTTGCTTTCCTCGGATGTTTCTGATCGGCCACTGTGCCGGGGGCCAGGGGGTGGTCACTGATAGAGCCTTGCTTTGATCTTGCTGACTATTATCCCACCGTGGTCACTTTCAGTGGTACCTCTTGGAACCTGACACTCACATGTTCTTTCCATCCTTCTGTCTTTCAGAAGCAGCCTGCTCACCAAGAAGCAGGACCAAGCCGCCCGCAAGATCATGCGGTTTTTACGACGCTGCCGCCACAGGTGAGATGCTGCCAGCACCCCATCTGCAAGGTTGGGGACATGAGTGGAGCGCACCTCATCCCTGGGCTAGCTGCGCATGGGAGCAAAGTGCAGGTGTTTCCCGCTGACTTGGCAGCCCAGAGGCCTGGCTCAGAACAGGCAGGAGTTTCTTTGGAGAGATGGCAGAACAAGAAAACCCTCCACTGTCTTTAATCGGCCTTAGAAATGGGCTGTAGGCCTCTGGTGAAGGACAGCAAAGCCCTCTTGACTTCCCGTGCATCCCGGGGCGCTTGACCTGCAGCATGAATCGTGTTGAGTAGCCGGGATGCTCACTCACACCTGTCCCGGTTAGTGCAGCTGGCTCCCCTTTTCCAAAGGTGATTGCTCATGTATGGATGGATGCACGTGTGCATGAGCAAATCACGAACAGCCTCCAAACTGTTCCAGTAGTCAGTTGAATGGAGGAGCATTTGGGGTGATGCTGCTAGCTATGGCCAGTCAGCACTGAACACGGCTATGCAGGAGACCTCGCTGTCCCTGCCACCACACCCCAAGCTCTCGCTAGGAGAGGAAGACACTTCTCTGTTTCCACTCCAGGGCAGTGAATGCACTGCTGGCCACTGCCACCCAAGAGGCTTCAGCCACCTGGGCTCCTGTGGGTACCTGCATAATGTCCCCTGCAGGACACTGTGATACTTGCCTTGAGAGAGAAGCAGGGTGGGGGCAGACTGTAGGACCCGGCCTGGCCTCACCCTCCCGCGCAACAGTGCAGTGGATGCCCAGCCAGCCATCCCCTGCATGTGCCTTCCCTTTGGTGCCCTCCGATCCACTGCATACTGGCCTGAGGCAGAGCACCCCAGCAGCCCCTCTGAAGTGGCTGAGCGGGAATGCGCTCAGAGCAGCCAGGCAGCTCTTGAGAGAGGGCACTCGGCTGGAGGCTGACGAGAGGGAGGAGAGCTCCTGTCATAATTCAAGTCCCACCTCCCTCCTCAGGCCTCTGGCCCAGGCATATACCAATGGGGTGTTTGTGCCTTGTGCTGGGCACTCAGAATAGGCTGCTGCCACTGCCATCGCCATCCAGTAGTAGGCAGGACTGCTGGTCCCTTGGTGTTTACCTGAGCAGAGGGCAATGAACCAAATCAGAGGACAGCAGGAGTGGAGATGGAGGTAATCATGGCGGCCTCAGAAATAGTCCTGAGGGTTCCTAAGGTGATTGCCCTATATGACTCCAACATACATGCTAAACCTCCTCCTCTGTGGTGACTCAAGTCTGCATGGTTGCCATGGGAAGGGTGGGGCTGTCTCAACATGCCATTGGTCCAAGCCGCGGATTGAGGCACATTCCAGACCTTGTTTCTCAGCTGGCCAGATTGGGGGTGGGTGGGAGAAGTTGACATCTCTTTTCAAAGTTGTATCCTGTTAAGATTTGGGCTGTCTATAGTTTTACCCCTCTGAAATGGTCTGCCCCTGGAGACTTGGGATAGCTGGTGCTCCTGTTGAAACCATTGTTGCTTTTTTGAATGGAGAGAGAACTCAGGCAGTTGACAGAATCATTTGGTCACTTAGTGTTCATGTGAGCAGAGGGCAATGAACGAAATCAGAAGAAACAGGAATAGAAGAGGAGAAAGGTTCATGGAGAGTCAGGTGGAACTCGAGTAGGAGTTTGTGTCTACTCTGTGGCTGTGATGAAGACAAAGAAACGGTTCCTTTCTGCCATGGTGCCCTGTTAATATTATCCATAGAACTTTTTGTGGTGATGTAGGGCCTTTGGAAATCTACCCTAGGGGAGATGTGATTTATTTATTTATTCATTTATTTTTCGATTTATATCCTGCCTTTTTCCTACAAAGGGCTCAAGGCAGCTTACATCTCCTCCTCCATCTTATCCCCACAACAACAACCCTGTGAGGTAGGTTGGGCTGAGAGTCTGTGACTGGCCCAAAGTCACCCATGGCTGAGTGGGGACTAGAACCCGGATCGTCTGAGTCCCAGTCCCATGCTCTTAACCACTACGCCACACTGGCTCTCTTTGTGATAGGATCACAAAGTCACTTTGATCCATTTGCAAAATGCTCTGAAGGAAAAGTCATGAGTGACTGTATCCATCTTGACTTGGGCTCCACACTTGGTGCAGTGACAATGGTAAAGTTTTTCCAGAGCAGTAGCTGGTTCAGTTTTATTGAGTGAGTGCATTTCAGTTCTTGGAGCCTGAGGAAGTGGACAAGGAGCTTGGCTGAATCTGACTGACCACTTTGCACTCCTCCCTTAACTTGCCTGACTTATTAAGTCTAGTAGGGAGGTGATGTCCACCTAGGTCCAGGTTCTCCTTCTTCACTAAAAGAAAGAGAAGCTCCAGCTTTCTTAAAAGAAGCCATAATTTTACTGGTCATGAAGAAACCCAGTGTGGACTTGGGTGATGTTATCAATTATAGGCCCTTCTTGGATAAAGTGACAGAAGTTGTTGCTTTCCAAAGCCAGGCAATTTTAGATAAAACTGATTATTTGGGTTCATTTCAGTTGGGGTTTAGGCCTGGCTTGAGATAGACTCTGCTTTGGTCACCTGTGGGATGATCTTGTCATGGGAAAAGCAGGTGTGGGATCTGTCATTACTCCTGGATCTCTCAGTAGCTTTTAATGCCACTGACTGCGGTGTCCTTCCGGAAGGGCTGTTCAGGTGGGGCATGGCAGGCACTGGCTGGGGCCTGGGTGTGGCTAACCCTCGGTCTAGGCTGCTGCGGTGCACTGTCCGCATGGCCACTCCTTTCACAAGCAGTCTCTAACCTGCAGCTGACCAGTTGGGACCTGGAGGTTTGAGCATATCATGCCTGCATGTTGTCTGCTGTGCTGCCTCCAGTCTGTTCCCAGGCCCAATTTCAAGTGCTGGTTTCAGCCTTAAAGAGCCTGGGACTGAGTGGTCTGGAGGAACTCCTAACCTGACACATAACTCCCCAGACATTGAAGCCTTCAAAGAAGTTCTACACGGAGCAGTCTGCTGAGTGTACTGAAGCACTAACTGCCAGGGAGCAAGCTTTGTCAGTAGGGGGCACCCCAGTTTTGGGAAAGCCTTCTCAGGGGTTGCCTGGGCTCCAGGTGCAAATCAACTGGCTAGGCAGCTTCCTGTGGCCTGGGCCTCTCACTTCTGAACTGCGAGTTTTGCTGCTGTCTTTTATGCTTACATGTTCACATCATTTTCTGTTTTGTCTTGTGTTTCTTTCATTGTTAAGTTGACTTGTTTATTGCCAAGCCAAGTAGAGAGTTTTTGCTGTGGAGAGACAGACAAATGCCACTCATTGTGACCTTTAAAAAGGAGGCTCTGTTAGACCTGCTGCAGTATGGGGCCTTGATGCACCTGCCTTGGGTGGGCAGAGGAGAGGTGCACGGATTCCTCCCACCGCCATCTGTGGGCATGGAGCACTTTTAGGCATTCCTTGGGGGTGAGCAGGAGCAGGGAGCTCTTCCGTCCGTCCCACATTGAAAGCTGCCACTTTGCATCTCTCTAGGCAAAACTGCGGAGTAGCCTGGTCAAGGTATGGGGCAGGAAGAAGATCCATCTGGAGTGCCTCCAGGATGATGTGGGCCCAGGTGCCTACACCTGCATGCCCACTTGCCCTGCCCTTCTCCACAGGGGGGTCCTAGGTGCCCGTCAGCCTCCCCTGCCTGCCTACATAGGGGTGGCAGCAGCAATTTTCTGTGCGCGAACTTTCCAGCGAAGGCCGCCATCACTTTTCATGGCTCCGAGGCAAGAACCTTCCTGTGCTTGGAAACGCTTCCTCCGCAGCTGAGCAGGCCCAGCTCTGGCAGGCCTGTGTATTGCCTGCCTGGCTCTGATGGGCTCATGCTGCAGGATTGTTTGGGGCAGAGGCCAGGGAAAGGCCACTGCAGAGAAAGATGTGCCTGCTTGGAAGGAGGACAAGAGGCAGCAGCAGGGGATGACATAGAGACACAGAAACAGGGCGAGTCAGAAGGGGCCGCCAGGCCCTCTGGTCCGATGCCGGCTCCAGCTGGCTCCACTCATGACATGCCTGCCATGGCGAGGGGAGTCCCAAAGCACTATCTGTACCCAGTCCCTGTGATTCTCAGCCTGGCATGATGAGAAGGGATGGCTAGATGAGTCAGAGATCCCCAGAGTAGGGATGAAGAGAGAGCTGTTCTGGGTGTGACCTGGGACCAAGGTGTGCCATTTCAGCCTATAGAGGTGTCGGATTTTTCAGTGCTCTGCGCCCATGTTTCATAAACTCGCACATCAGGGAGGAAGGCTTATGCTTAATCTGCCCGATTTCTTGAGGTGCAGGCAGTCTGACAATGAAGATGGCTCCATCACCGTGAGTGCGCAGTGGTGCCACGCCAGGTTCTCCACCTGCATCATTTGTGGGACAGCCGTGCCACGCCCTCGAGGAAAGAGTCCTGAATCTTGCTAGGGACGGGGGCGGGGGGTTAAGCAAGTCCTGGGGGAGCAAAATTTGCACAGGTGCCATTCGGAGCGAGCATATGAATATACAGCCCAGGGATAAAAATGCGGATCAACGCCCCGCAACCCCCAGCTTCTCTTTGCATGCCGCAGTTGTGCTGGACTGAAACTTGCTCTTGGCAGGTGTTCTTGTCCGCTGAACTGCAGCTGCTGTTCCTCTGTACGGTGGCCACTGTGCAGGGAAGTCCTTGGCATGGCCCCCCTTTGGCAGCTGGCAAGAGTGAGGGGTGCCTGCTCAGCAGGACATCTACTCCTGGAACCGTTGCTGGAGTTGTCGGGTGACCCTGGGAAGTGCACCGAATGCAGAGCAAGGCAGCCAGAGTGGAGGGTACATGTGAGGTGCCGCTTGGGGGAGCAGAGGCAGGTTCAGACAGAAGTGTAGGAGATGAGAGTCCTGCCGAGTACCGAGAGCTTGTCGGCATTCTTCGTACAGCAGCCTGCCAAAGCTTAAGGGTCTCTGGTGCCTTCTTGGTGCCCACAGCAGCAAGGCGAGGGGCTTCATTTGTCACGGCCAGGGTTAGTTGGCTGCAGTCTTGCACAGGGCTTCTGTGGT